TTTTTTTTCCTCTGTCAACAAAATGAAGGGGGAGCACAAAATTTGGATATAAATGTTAACTAGAGTACCTACGCATGTTCGACTTTGTTTCATTGTTTGTTTGTTTTTTCCCTCTACTTGGGTTCCATATGGAACTTGTCACCGGCGAGGAAAAAATTTCCTGCAACCTTAAAAGCTTTGAGTAATGACACCACTGTAATCTTCATTTTCAACAGTTCTTATTTTTGACATTTTAAAACTCTTCAGGTGATGGCTTTAGATGCTACAGCTGCGAAGGTTATAAGGAAGGGTCTTGCGGAGAGTCCTTTACAGCAAGTAGCACCGTTTACTGTTACACCGCGTGCTACAAGAGCATAAGTACAATGAACGTTCTCATAGGTACAGCATAAAAATAGTTTTATCCCTATAAGATACTGTACTGCCCGGTTGAAAGAGTACTTATGGAATATTTAAGGAAAAATGATAAATTTAATCAAATTTAATATATGTGTGCCTTTCATTCTATATGTGTCTGCCTGTCTATTTAATTATTTTCAGTTATTTTTATTTACCCAATTTTTATTTACGGATTGGTTGATTAATCTTTTTATCTACTATCTCATCCAGGGTCTACTACATCGTACTCGAGAGGCTGCTACGATTGGTCTCGAAATTCCATGACCTGCGACAAGAGTGGCGGTGGATTTGCCGGAATCGGCGCTGCTGCGGAGCACTGCTACTGCAACACTGATTTGTGCAACTCCGCCTCAAGCCTGCTGCCATCTATCGTCCAGGTCGTCATTGTTGTGGCTGCTGCTTTTTTCTTCCAGAAGTTCTGTATTTAGGACTGTGACTTGTATACATGCACAACAAAAACTGGATCATAAAAATGTCAGACTGGAATTTCTTTCTTTAGTCGGTAGCATGTTGAGAAGTATTTGTGGAGACCCATTAATTGCAGATTAACGTACTTATGGCTAGGTCATTATTCAAGTCGGAAGGGGCGTAGGGGGGTGGAGGATACCTGTTATCCAAACAAATAAAATTCGAGAACACCCCCGACTGCATTTATGTTTTTTTCTGGGCGCCCCCTCCTTTTTCTGGATTGATTGAAAAATTCAAGGCTCCCTCAATAAAAAAATATACGATCTCAGAAAAAATATATGTTGAACTTTGTTTGTTTGGCAAATCACAAAAAATAACTTTTCACAAGACCCCACCCTCATATCTCACATTCAAATTTCAAAACTCCTTACTTTTGCTTAAATATTTCCAGCCCACCCACCCCTTCATTTCCCCCCTTAACACCCCCTCCAACTTTAATAATGACCGGTGCTCAACACTCCACTAACTAGAGACTTGTGCATTGCTTTTGCCATCTATCAAGAAAATAGTTGCGCATCCTTCATTCTCGTTTTTTCATGTGATGGTATTCTATGTTGTTTGGTTTACATATAATACGTATCATACAATCAACCCACAGCCATTATCATGTTGTATTTTAATGAACAACCAATATTTAATTAACTTTGTTTATAGTTGTCTTTTTTATATTTCAATAATTCTGACTAGCCTACGTCCAACAAATAAGGCTGAACTATTTTGTACAAATATCACACTTTGATTCATATCTGCTTTATAAATAGGACGGACTGAAGACAAAGGTGTGTTACACGTAATTGTGCTAGGTGTGCTGTTGTTTTAGTTGCTCAAGACGAGTTTAGAAGTCTGTGAATATAATTTTTTCCTACTGGCTAGGTCACTAAGATCTAACGAAGAAAAGCGCGTTTTACAAAATAGTCACATCGACCACACTGGGCATCCGTTCTGTCATAGACATTGACGAAAAACTATTCTTTTTTCACCATGAGGGTGATATTGAGAGAAACTGGGGGACCAACAGGGGGTACTCGTGCGCGTAGAGTCCGTGCCCGTATCCTTCCTAATATAGCGCGTGTGGGTGCGATGCATTTGCACCTTTACGAAAGTTGCACTATCTTGTAGGGTGTACGCGTCAAGTAAGTTAAATTAAATTCCTTTTTATATATCCTTGGCGTAATCTAACACTCATAAAGTTAGTGCAGTTAGTTACACCAAAAGATTTAATTGTCCTGCCCCTGCTGGGAAAGCGAGTGGTAGGCGGGATTCCATTACATTTTCGTTATGCGGCTTGCTTTCAAGTGCACGAAATATTTTATCCTCGTACTAGTTAGTCAGCGGATCAACTGGTTGTGAATGATCCAAATAGCGACATAATGGAAACAAAGGACTAGTAGGGAGAAAATCTGTCCGACTGAAATTTCAAAAATCTGATAAAACTTTTTTATTCTTATTTTGCTGGTTTCATAGATTGACCAGATTCATGAAGTTCACGTTTTAATTGTGTTTAAAACAGATACTAGTTCTCCGGGTGAAGACATATCTAGTACTTTTAAAATAGATAAATTTATCGCAACCTTGGCGTGAATTCATCTGAGGCGCCATTCAAGTAGCCACAGTTATTGTGTGCGTCATCAGTTATGATGATAACGTCATCAATGATGATGATATAAAAGTCCAAAAAACTTGGAACAACACTTCACTCGCCAGTTGACAAACTAATCGATAGTCGATCTCTGCTCCCTCAACCTGACTGCCGACGTGAAAAGGTTGACTTGAAAAGACAAGATGAAGACTCTGGCAATTCTGATCGCGATGGCGGCAACACTGGCAACTTGTAAGTCTGAAGCGATGAATGAGTTTAAATTATTAAGAGAAAAACTGTATTTGAATATCTATAAATTTTCACTCTCCCCTTCTCGCTGTATGCAATAGTGTTGCATATGCAGTATGTATTGTGAGTGTGAGCGCGCACGTGCGTGCGCCCATTTAATACTTAGGTATGCGGCTTTATGTATGTGGGCGTGTGCTCGTGCGTACTGTTCGGTAAATGATTCTTAAACAAGAGAGGCATCTCCAAACCATTTTACTAACAATTGGCTAACATTGATTTTAAGGCATTCATACTTAAACATATTGAATGTGGAGCTACTAAAAGAGAAGGAAAATTGTTTTACATGTTTTGTGATCCACCAGTTTCGCTTTGCAGAAATTTATGATAATATGTCTAGATATATATTACATGTATGTATAACACAAGTAGTTTAGAGGGCCTGTAACATGAAACATCTAAGTGCTCAATAAATTTTTATTATTATTTGGATAAGGGGTGGTATTTATACTACCAGGTCTTATCTTTTAGACGCAAGGGCCCTGTGCCTGACAAATTAAACATCAAACTTTTTAGGGGATACTATGCCTCACGACGACTGGATGTTAATGCTACCTTATATTAGGGAAACATACAATGTAAGCTTCGTGCATTTTATTTATATAAAGAAATCTGCATAAGTAAAGTTTTCTAACTCATCATCATTTTACTCAAATGCTGGGGTCATGACATTCGATGCATTATCCACCTCATGTAAATGGCTCCAACTTCTCGCCTTGTTTAGATTTGATGATACTAGAGATACCCTGGGTCTATCTGGCGTAAATAGCAGTCAAGTTCTTTAAAGAACAGAGATAATGTCCCGGGGCCGGTTGCACGAAGGGGGCGTAATATTGACCCAAGTTACTCCACTGTAAAACGAAACGCCTGAGGAAGGCCAGTTGTGCCAAACTGGAGAAGCCTTATGTTAGTCGTGAAAGTAGTATTATGCTAATTTAAGCCTGCCATGTAGGTGGAAAATGTCGGTCGTTTTTCAAAAGGCTAAACTGGCGCATTGAGAGTGCGGTGAAAGTTATCGAAGAGCTTTAGAATATGATAAAATTGAGTCTAACTGGCCTATACAAGGACCATCCCGGTCTCCTTTCTCTCTAACATCTTTTCAATTAGTCCTTCATTAAATTTGAACCAAGCATTAAAATATATTTTGAATTCACTTTAAAATTTATAAAGAGACCCCTCGGAATCTGTGGACAATTTTATTTTTCTCTGTCAACGAAATGAAGGGGAGCACAATAGCTGGGGGAAAAGTTCACAAGCCGAAGGGTACCTACGCATGTACGACTTTGTCTCATTGTTTTTTTTTCCCTCTACCTGGGTTTCATGAAGAACTTGTCACCGGGAAAGATGAAATTTTCCTGCAATCACAGAAACCTTGAGTAATGACACCCCTGCAATTCTCATTTTCTACAATTCTTATATTTGACATTTATTCTTCAGGTGATACCCTAAGGTGCTTCAGCTGCAGCAGTTCTAAGGAAGAGTCCTGCGGAGAGTCTTTTAGAGCCAGTAGTACCATTGGCTGTGACACCGCGTGCTTCAAGAGGATAAGCACAGTGAACGTTCTCATAGGTATAGCATAAACATATAGTTTTATCACTCTAAGATAATATATAACTGTACTGCCCGGTTGAAAGAGAGCTTATGGAATATTTGAGGAAATAAATTATAAATTTATTTTACTTAATTGTAAATGTGCCTTTCATTGTATGTGTCTGTCTGTCTATTTAATTATCTTCAGTAACTTGTTTTATTTACCTAATTCTTTATTGATAAATGGATTCGTTGAATTATTTTTTGATCTACTATCTCAACCAGGGTCTGTCATAACGTACTCGAGAGGCTGCCACGGCACAAATCCATATTCCATGACCTGCGACAAGATTGGTGGTGGAATTGCCGGAATCGGCGCAGATGAGGAGAAATGCTACTGCAGCACCGATTTGTGCAACTCCGCCTCAAACCTGCTGCCCTCTATCGTCCAGATCGTCATGGTCGTGGCTGCTGCTTTTTTCTTCCAGAAGTTTTAGAATGTGTCGCAATATTATATTTTGTATTTAGGAGCGTGACTTATATACTAGTACAACAAAAACTGGATTATAAAAATGTCAAACTGGAAATATATTTCTGCGAGTATTCTAGTCGGTAGCATATTGTGAGCTATTTGTGGAGATTCATTAATTGCAGATTAACATACTTAACACTTAAGGGACCGGTCTTTATTTAAGTCAGAAGGGGCGGGGGTGGGGGGTGAAAGCGAAAATACCTGTTATCCAAACAAATAAAATTTGAGATCACCCCTGATAGCTGTCAAGTTTTTTTCTGCCCCCCCCCCCTTCCTTGAGGAATATTCCTCAATAAAAAAACATACAATCAGAGAAAAAGTTATATTTTGAACTTTGCTTGTATGGCAAGTCACAAAAAATAACTTTTCACAAGACCCCACCCTCATCTGTCACATGCAAATTTCAAATCTCCTTACTTTTGCTTAAAATTTTTTAGCCCAACCACCCTCCATTTTCCCCCTTAACACCCCCCTCCAACTTTAATAATGATCGGTGCTCAACACCCTAACTAAAGACGATATAGATGCGAATCGTTCATTCTCGTTATTTCATGTGATGGTACTCCATGTTGTTTGATTTACATATAATACGTATCATACAATCGAACCACAGCCATGGTGATGTTGTTTATTTTTAATGAACAACCAATATTAAATTAACTTTGCTTATAGCTGTCTTTTTTATATTTCTATAATTTTGACTACCAACGTCCAACAAAAAAAGGCTGAACTATTCTAAACAAATTACCAATGCATCACAATTTGATTCAGATCTACTTTATAAATAGTTCGACGGACTGAAGGTAAAGGTGTGTTACACGTCATTGTGCTAGGTGTGACTAGAACATCTCTATTGTGTTAGTTGAGACGAGGTTTAGCACTCTGTGAATATAATATTTTCAAACCGGCTAGGTTTTCTCACCAACATCTAACGAAGACAAATGTGTTTTACAAAATGGTCACATCGAGCACACTGGACATCTGTTCTGTCACAGAAAATGACGAAAAACTATTCCTTTTTCATCTTGAGGGTGATATGAAGAGAAACTGGGGGTACTCGCACGCGTAGAGCCCGTGCCCGTACCCTTCCTTACATAGCACGTGTGAGTGCGATGCATTTGCACGTTTACGAAATTTCCACTGTATTGTAGGGTGTGCGCGTCAAGGAAGTTAAATTAAATTCCTTTTTATATATCTTTGTGATATCTAACACGCATAGTTAGTGCAGTTAGTTACACCAAAAGATTTGATTGTTCTGTACCTGCTAGTAGGCGGGGAGTCCATTCTGTTTTCGTTAGGGGGTTGTGCGGCTTGCTTTCAAGTGCGCACAATATTTTATCCTCGGACTAGTTAGTCAGCGGATCAACTGGTTGTGAATGCTTCCAATAGCAACATAATGGAAACAAAGGACTAGTGGGGAGAAAATCTGTCCGACTGAAATTTCAAAAAATCTGATAAAACTTCTTTATTCTTATTTTGCTGGTCTCAGAGGTTGACCTGGTTTATGAAGTTCATGTTTTAATTGCCATAAAACGTACGTGTTGCCATGGGAACATGGTGTTAACCCTCACTTAACCTGACCACCTGTTAACACCTTAGCTTAGAGGGTGGGGGGAGGGGGGACTGAGATGACCGGTGGAAACTGTCTGCATCCTGAAAACGACTTTATCTGAGACGGTGCTGAATTGGCCTATCGCTGTCTATTTGGATAGGGGGGGCGGTACATGTATTTATACCCCCAGGTCTTATCTCTTGGACGCAAGGGCCCTGTGCCTGACAAATTAAACTTAAAACGTTTTAGGGGATACTATGCCTCGCGACGACTGGATGTTAATCCTTCCTTATATTAGGAAAATCTACATGAAAGCTTCGTCAAAATGAGGATTATATTTATAAAAAGAAATCTGCAATATACTTGGCAGACTTTGAAAGTAAAGTTTTCTATTTCTTCATCATTTACTCAAAAGCTGGGGTCATGACCCTCGACACATTATCCACCTCATGTAAATGGCTCCAACTTCTCGTGTTGTTTATATTTGATGATACTAGAGATACCCTGGGTCTATCTGGCGTAAATGAAAGTCAGGTCCTTTAAAGAACAGAGATAATGTCCCGGGGCGGTTGCACCAAGGGGGCGTAATATTGACCCAAGTTACTCCACTGTAAAACGAAACGCCTGAGGAAGACCAGTTGCGCCAAACTGGAGTAGCGTGTGCGAAAGACTGCATTCCCACAGATTTAGATCGATCCATCTGAATCGACTCAACTCCCTGTGGGTTCACGCTAAATTGCTGTCAGCCGAGTGCGCACGGGAGTAAATTAGCCTCTTACATCTTTTAGTAGGCGGGACAGACATTTAAGCCATCTAAGCTGACAGCGATCTAGTGAGACTCCCCACAGGGATAGATCCATCTAAAATCTATGGGAATGCAGTCTTAGTCATATGTTATTCGTAAACTAGCGCCTGACATTTATATAACATGTATAGGTGGTGAATGGCGGTCGTTGCTCTTTTTTAAAAACCGACTAAGACTGGGTTCTCATCCCTAGATCGATCTAACAGGTTCGGTCCATCTCCACGGGGTCTCTCCTAAATTGCTTTCAGCTCAAGTGGCTTAGACGTCTGGGACGCCTACTAAAGCTGCTAAATGATAGTTAATTACCCCTATCAGCTTTAGTAGGCGTGACAAACATCTAAGCCTCCCAAGTTAATTGCAAGTAAGCGAGAATCCCCTCGGAGATAGTTCGATCCAAAGTTAGTACGATAGCATCTGGGAATGGTATCTTAGACTGGGTTCCCGCGGATTTAGATCGAGCCATGCGGATCGACCTAACTCCCTGAGGGGTTCACGCTGTCAGCTTCCGGGAGCCGAGCGCGCACAATTTTTATGTCTTTATTTTATTTTATTTTTTTGAATTTTTTCTTGGATTATTTAACATATTGATTGATATACATTTATTGGACATGTGAAAATCGAAGCACGGGCAGTATGATAAGTAGCCTAACTTTAGAAAAGCAATAATACTGACATCTAGCGTAATGATATTTGTCATACCTTAAATATTCTGAAAAGATTTGTCTATCGAACATTACTGAGAAAAATATTTGAATATATGAATAAATGACCAATTCATAATAAGTCAACTTAAATTCATATTTACTACAGAAATAGTTTCTACGTAATTGCTTTAGGTGTGACACCAGCATCACGGCTGTGCTAGTTGAGACGACAAGTAGTGCTGCAGAATAGTTGTTTAATTTTAGACTGGGTTCCCAAGCCTAGAACGATCTAACAGGATCGATCTATCTGCGAGGGGTTTCGGCTTAAGCGGCTTAGATGTCTGACACGCCTACTGAAGCTGCTAAACGATCATAAATAACCCCCTAGCAGCTTCAGTAGGCGAGACAGACATCTAAGCCACTTAGGTTGATCACAATTTCGCGAGAAACCCCTCGGAGATAGATCGATCCACAGTTAGTACGATAGGGTCCCTTGTATTATATTAATAAAGAGAAGTGGATGGAGCGAGCAGAGAAAGGGACACCTGACAGAACCAGCACACCTGGGGGGTGATAGTTGGTAATACCTTTCACACCCCACATTTCCCTGATGAGATCTGGCTGTCAGCTGACGAACTATTGGTTGATAAATCTCATTTAATTTCTCTTCTATGGCCATTGACAAATGAAACGTCAGTGGTCTATATTTAAAAACACAAAGCTAATAAAACTGTTTAACATTACATTAGTATTATTTGAACAAAACACTTTTAAGACTTCACACACTCGATCCATTATCAAGGCGGGTTTAAATTTGATGAAAATTCCATACAATAAGATTGTTTCTATGCTGTATTTAAACGTCTCTCAGTATTTCCGGAGTGCAAAATGAACGCCTGAAAGGTAAATATAGCACCTGTCAGTTTTGACAAATGTAAGGCAAAGTAGGGGCTTATCTATCAGTTTTTTTCTTTTTACCACATACTTTCGTTTCTACATGATTTATGCGTAACACACGGTACCAGTAAAGATATCGATATCACTACCGCGACCCGGTAGTTGCATACTGACAGTAAAGCAGGCCCGTAGCCAGCAATTTCAAATGGTCTTTTTATGAAAAAGTGGACCTTTAATCGCGAAATTTAAAAAAATTCGACTTTTAATATTGAAGAAAAACTAAAGCGATGTTAATTATACAAACAAATTAAAATTTGCGTAAAAGTTTAAATACCACCTTTCATAAATATCGAATAAGGTGAAAAAACAAATATACTTATTATCGTTATTATAATAATAATAAGTACAATATAAAAGATCCAATTCTGTAGCACATGGTATAAGATATCAGACATCACAGAGCGAATATACAAAAAAATTCACTTACTAATATAAAAATCTAATGGCAACTACCATCATATCATCTAAAAAGAGAAAAAAAATGTTACCAAAAGGTGTACAAGGGAAGCATTGCCTCCATCAATATTGTAAAAATTGATTCAACATTGGAAAATACAAACTGGCACCATTGAAAAAGAAGATATATCACTAATCAGTATTAATTAATCAAACCCGATATATTTTCAGTTATGAATAATTGTTCCAAATCATTTTCACAAGTACACTGACACACAAAAAGTCTAACTTCTGGGTGAATTTTCCCTAAATGACAAAATGTTTTGTACTTCATGATCTACAATAAACATCACATTAAAACTATGGGAAATCACTGCATTTAAATACAACAAGAAAATGGATTACTCATTACAAGCACAATGTTAAAACCTGTGTTTTGCCTTATCATCCAAGATGATGCAACAGTGCATTATAGCACAAAAGGCAAATGCTATTTGAGTAACTGAATATAATATGTATGCTGTGAAACACAGGGTAAAAGAAAATGGTAAAATTTAACGGTCTTAGTAGTGAAACCAAGGATTTATAACAGAGTGAAACTGACTGTAAATCCCTCACACATTGACTTAGAGATGTTCCCTTACATCTAGGTGGCTCATTTTCTGCAATGTAAAACAAAGACACATTATTTTATCATTTACTTCAAATAAATTGTGCATTTCTACTTATATAAACATACTTTTGCCTCTGGTTTCATCAACACATTTTGGAATTANGTGAACGTTCTCATAGGTACAGCATAAAAATAGTTTTATCCCTATAAGATACTGTACTGCCCGGTTGAAAGAGTACTTATGGAATATTTAAGGAAAAATGATAAATTTAATCAAATTTAATATATGTGTGCCTTTCATTCTATATGTGTCTGCCTGTCTATTTAATTATTTTCAGTTATTTTTATTTACCCAATTTTTATTTACGGATTGGTTGATTAATCTTTTTATCTACTATCTCATCCAGGGTCTACTACATCGTACTCGAGAGGCTGCTACGATTGGTCTCGAAATTCCATGACCTGCGACAAGAGTGGCGGTGGATTTGCCGGAATCGGCGCTGCTGCGGAGCACTGCTACTGCAACACTGATTTGTGCAACTCCGCCTCAAACCTGCTGCCATCTATCGTCCAGGTCGTCATTGTTGTGGCTGCTGCTTTTTTCTTCCAGAAGTTTTGTATTTAGGACTGTGACTTGTATACATGCACAACAAAAACTGGATCATAAAAATGTCAGACTGGAATTTCTTTCTTTAGTCGGTAGCATGTTGAGAAGTATTTGTGGAGACCCATTAATTGCAGATTAACGTACTTATGGCTAGGTCATTATTCAAGTCGGAAGGGGCGTAGGGGGGTGGAGGATACCTGTTATCCAAACAAATAAAATTCGAGAACACCCCCGACTGCATTTATGTTTTTTTCTGGGCGCCCCCTCCTTTTTCTGGATTGATTGAAAAATTCAAGGCTCCCTCAATAAAAAAATATACGATCTCAGAAAAAATATATGTTGAACTTTGCTTGTTTGGCAAATCACAAAAAATAACTTTTCACAAGACCCCACCCTCATATCTCACATTCAAATTTCAAAACTCCTTACTTTTGCTTAAATATTTCCAGCCCACCCACCCCTTCATTTCCCCCCTTAACACCCCCTCCAACTTTAATAATGACCGGTGCTCAACACTCCACTAACTAGAGACTTGTGCATTGCTTTTGCCATCTATCAAGAAAATAGTTGCGCATCCTTCATTCTCGTTTTTTCATGTGATGGTATTCTATGTTGTTTGATTTACATATAATACGTATCATACAATCAACCCACAGCCATTATCATGTTGTATTTTAATGAACAACCAATATTTAATTAACTTTGTTTATAGTTGTCTTTTTTATATTTCAATAATTCTGACTAGCCTACGTCCAACAAATAAGGCTGAACTATTTTGTACAAATATCACACTTTGATTCATATCTGCTTTATAAATAGTTCAACGGACTGAAGACAAAGGTGTGTTACACGTAATTGTGCTAGGTGTGCTGTTGTTTTAGTTGCTCAAGACGAGTTTAGAAGTCTGTGAATATAATTTTTTCCTACTGGCTAGGTCACTAAGATCTAACGAAGAAAAGCGCGTTTTACAAAATAGTCACATCGACCACACTGGGCATCCGTTCTGTCATAGACATTGACGAAAAACTATTCTTTTTTCACCATGAGGGTGATATTGAGAGAAACTGGGGGACCAACAGGGGGTACTCGTGCGCGTAGAGTCCGTGCCCGTATCCTTCCTAATATAGCGCGTGTGGGTGCGATGCATTTGCACGTTTACGAAAGTTCCACTTTTTTGTAGGGTGTACGCGTCAAGGAAGTTAAATTTAATTCCGCTTTATATATCCTTGGTATAATCTAACACGCATAAAGTTAGTGCAATCGGTTACATCAAAAGATTTAATTGCTCTGTCCCTGCTAGGACGATTAGCGTGGTAGGCGGGGAATCCATTACCTTTTTTGTAAGGGGTCACGCCGCTTGCTTTCAAGTGTACGCAATATCTTATCCTCGGACTAGTTAGTCAGCGGATCAACTGGTTGTGAATGCTCCCAATAGCAACATAATGGAAACAAAGGACTAGTAGGGAGAAAATCTGTCCGACTGCAATGCCAAAAATCTAATCCAACTTCTTTATTCTGATTTTTGCTGGTTTCAGAGTGTTATGTACCTTTACATATACATATGAGATGAATGTCCTAAACTTATATAATTTAGAACGCTTAATTCCAGCGTGGGCTCGAAATAGGACATTACGTTTTAAACTTACTCAGTGGATAACGCAATTCGAAATTCCACGGTTCGTGTCAGATTTACGTAATGTCGCGCAAAGAAAACCCAAGTCCACATAATGACCAGTTTAATGGTTTATTGGTTGACGATCTCTAACTACATGTTCTATACGTGAAGCCTCCAACTTCTAAGCCGTCTCCCATAGCTCCGTCGAGCGGTCACCTTCGAGTCTTCTTCAGTCTGCCCCCCGATATTAATTCTATACGTCTTTTATACCTATTTCTTATCTTTAGGTGGATTCTGTGCTGCAGTATTTGGCGGTACATACTAATTTTAATTATTCAAATTGCACACGTCCACTTAAGTTACATGACTTCAGGTAAGGCCATAAAACGAGTCGAGTGCACAAGCAATCGACTCTAATCAAATTAATTTACATGTCCGGGAATTATATTTGTGAACACTACACGAGGTTGACCAGGTTCATGAAGTTCATGTTTTAATTGCAACAATTGTGCTTAAAACAGATACTAGTTCGCCAGGTGAATACATATCTAGTTCTTTCAAAATTGATAAATTTATCGCAGCCCTGAAGAGAATTCATTTGGGGCGTCATTCATGTAGCCACAGTTATTGTATGCGTCATCAGTTATGATGATAACATAATCAATGATGATGATGATATAAGAGTCCAAAAAACTTTGAACAACACTTCACTCGCCAGTTGACAAGCTAAGCGATAGTCGGTCTCTGCTCCCTCAACGTGAAAAGGTTGACTTGAAAAGACAAGATGAAGACTATGGCAATTCTGATCGCAATGGCTGCGACACTTGGAACTTGTAAGTCTAAAGTGATGGATGAGTTCAAATTATACAAAGAAAAACTGTATTTGAATATCTCTTAATCTTTACTCTCCACTTTCTCGCTGTACGCAATAGTGATATATATACAGTATGTATTGTGAGTGAGAGCGCGCACGTGTGTTTGTCCACTTTATCCTTACGTATGCGGCTTTATGTATGTGTGCGTGTGCTCGTGCGTACGGTGGATAATTCTTAAAACAAGAGAGGCATCTCCAAACCATTTTGCTAACAATTGGATTTATTAATTTCAAGGCATTATTACTTATGCATATTGAATGTGGGCTTCTTATAGAGAGGAAAATTGTTTTACATGTTTTATGATCCGCCAGTTTCGCTTTGCAGAATTTTGCAAAAGCAGACCAGCTTCGAGAAATACGACCAGAGCTCAGTGCGATAAACCATCTTGTGCGGGCCCGCCTGGCACCGTTTTAACAAAACTCGTTTTCACACTTCCCCAGGAAGAAGGCGATTTCGTTGCCATAAAACGTCCGTGTTGCCATGGGAACATGGTGTTAACCCTCACTTAACCTGGCCACCTGTTAACACCTTAGCTCAGGAAGAGGGACTGAGATGACCGGTGGAAACTGTCTGCATCCGGAAAACGACTTAATCTGAGACGGTGCTGAATTGGCCTATAGCTGTCTATTTGGAGAGGGGGCGGTACATGTATTTATACCCCCATGTCTTATCTCTTGGACGCAAGGGCCCTATGCCTGACAAATTAAACTTTAAACTTTTTAGGGGATACTATTCCTCACGACGACTGGATGTAAATGCTACCTTATATTAGGAAAATCTACATGAAAGCTTCGTCAAAATGAGAATTATATTTATAAAATGAAATCTGCAATATACTCGGCAGACTTTGAAAGTAAAATTTTCTAACTCATCATTTTACTCAAAAGCCGGGGTCATGACACTTGATACATTATCCACCTCATGTAAATGGCTCCAACTTCCAACGTTGTTTATATTTGATGATACTAGAGATACCCTGTGTCTACCTGTCGTAAATAGCAGTCAAGTCCTTTAAAGAACAGAGATAATGTCCCGGGGCCTGTAGCACCAAGGGGGCGTAATATTGTCCCAAGGTACTCCACTGTAAAACGAAACGCCAGAGGAAAGCCAGTTGCACCAAACTGAAGTAGCGTGTGCGTCAGTCTTATGTTAAACTCACGCTTGCCATTTACATAACATATAAAGGTGAAGAATGTCGATGCTTTTTTTTCAAAATGACTTAGACCCCATTCCCACAGATTTTAGATTGATCTATCCCCGTGGGGAGTCTCACTAGATTACTGTCAGCTTAGCCGGCTTAAATGTCTGTCCCGCCTACTAAAAGCTGTAAGGGGGTAATTTAGTCTGGATGACTGGTGCTATATTTTGGCCAAATTGCTCAAAATGTGGAAAAAGCATGAAACTTGGCACAAATGTTCTTTGGTCTATGCTGATCATTTTCAAGGGCAGTGCCCAAAATTTCAAAGCGTTGCTTAGCAACCGTTGCTATAAAAGTGAATTTCCTTAGTAGCAAGCTAATTATACCTTTCTTGTCCAGTTTAAATGGTTTAGAAATGCTAATAACTATGTTTCAGGGCATCAGAACTATCACTAGACTATTTCAAGGCAATTAAAACCCAAATTAACCTTAGCCACAATTGCTAGGCAGCATATTACCCTAGCAACAAGCATTTAAAGTTGCGTTAGTCTATTAAGTAAGGCAAATCAGATTTATTTTTTGAGATTAACTCTTCAGGTGATGCCCTCAGATGCTTCCGCTGCTACGGCTATAAGGACAGCTCGTGCGGAGAGTCCTTCAGAGCGAGTACGACCGTTTACTGTTACACTGCGTGCTACAAGAGTATGACTACAATGAAGACAGTCTTAGGTACAGCATAAAAGTGAAGTTTTCTTATTAGTTTTATATTATCTACGATAAAGAACGCAGATTGTGTATTTTAAAAAAAATAACTTGTTTGATTCTCTGCCCGTCCTTACTTTTCTATTTAACTTAAATTTCATTATTTCATTTTTATAAACCTTTCATTTATTTTCCCTAGCTCTTTATTGATTAATCTCTTAAGTTATTGAATAATTCACTCAGGTACTAGCATAACTTACGACAGAGGCTGCCTCAATTTTACTCCAACTTCCATGACTTGCTCCAAAGGCAGTGGTGGCATCCCCGGCTTCGCCAGCGGCTCCAGTGAGGGTTGCTACTGCAACACCGATAACTGCAACTCGGCCTCTAACCTGCTGCCCTCTATCGTCCAGATCGTCATGACTGTTGCTGCATCTTGTATCTTCCAGAAATTTTAGAATGCATTGTATGATGTGAAGCATTTTGGACTGTGACCTGCAAATAAGAAGGAGTGAAACAAAGCACTGTCAAATTGGATTTTTTTCTCTTGGATTATTTAACATATGTTGATTGATATCCATTTATTGGACATGTGAAAATCGAAGCACAGGCAGTATGATAAGTAACTTTAGAAAAGCAAACATAATATTGACATCTAACGTAATGATATTTGTCATACCTTAGATATTCTGAAATGATTTGTCTGTCGAACATTATTGAGAAAAATATTTGAATATATGAATAAATGACCTATTCTTAAATCTATATTTACTACAGAAACAGTTTATACATAATTGTTTAGGTGTGACACCAGCATAGCGGCTGTGTTAGTTGAGACAAGTAGTGCTGCAGAATAGTTGGTTAATTTTAGACTGGGTTCCCAAACCTAGATCGATCTAACAGGATCGATCTATCTGCGAGGGGTTTCGGCTTAAGCGGCTTAGATGTCTGACAGGCCTACTGAAGCTGCTAAACGATAATTAATAACCCCGTAGCAGCTTCAGTAGGCGTGACAGACATCTAAGCCGCTTAGGTTGATCGCAATTTTACGAGAATACCCTCGGAGATAGATCGATCCACAGTAAGTTCGATTGGGTCTGGGAATGGTCCCTTATATTTTATGATTAATAAAGAGGAGTGGATGGAGCGAGCAGAGAACCAGGGGACACCTGACGGAGCCACCCGAGGGGTGATAGGTGGTAATAGGTGGTAATACCTTTCACAGCCCACATTTCCCTGAAGAGATCTGGCTGTCAGCTGACGAACTATTGGTTGATAAATCTCCTTTAATTTCTCTTCTATGGCCATTGACAAATGAAACTTAATTGATCTATATTTAAAACACAAAGCTAATAAGACTGTTCAACATTACATTAGTATTATTTGAACAAAATACTTTTAAGACTTCACACACTCGATCCATTATCAAGGCGGGTTTAAATTTGATGAAAATTCCATACAATAAGATTGTTTCTATGCTGTATTTAAACGTCTCTCAGTATTTCCGGAGTGCAAAATGAACGCCTGAAAGGTAAATATAGCACCTGTCAGTTTTGACAAATGTAAGGCAAGGTAGGGGCTTATCTATCAGTTTTTTCTTTTTACCACATACTTTCGTTTCTACATGGTTTATGCGTAACACACGGTACCAGTAAAGATATCGATATCACTAATAACCAACCGCGACCCGGTAGTTGCATACTGACAGTAAAGCAGGCCCGTAGCCAGCAATTTCAAATGGTGGGGGGTCTTTTTCTGAAAAAGTGGACCTTAAATCGCGAAATTAAAAAAAAAAAATTCGAGTTTTTTATTGAAGAAAAACTAAGGCAATGTTAATTATATAAACAAATTTAATTTGCGTAAAAGTTTAAATACAATCTTTCATTAATAGTGAATAAAGGTGAAAAAAACCAATATACTAATTATCGTTATTATAATAATAATAAGTACAATATAAAAAATTCAAGATATTCTTCAATTTTTACAGCACATGGTATAAGACATCAGATATCACAGAGCGAAATAAATCCACTTACTAATATAAAAATCTAATTGCAACTACCATCATATTATCTAAAAAGAGAAAATATATTACCAAAAGATGTACAAGAGAAGCATTGCCTCCATCAATATTGTAAAATTAATTCAACATTGGAAAATACAAACTGGCACCATTGAAAAAGAAGATATATCACTAATCAGTATTAATGAATCAAACCTGATATATTTTCAGGTATAAATATATCAAGTACACTGACACACAAAAAGTCTAACTTCTGGGTAAATTTTCCCTAAATGACAAAATGTTTTGTACTTCATGATCTACAATAAACATCACATTAAAACAATGGGAAATCACTGCATTTAAATACAACAAGAAAATTGATTACTCATTACAAGCACAATGTTAAAACCTGAGTTTTGCCTTACATCCAAGATGATGCAACAGTGAATTATAGCACAAAAGGCAAATGTTATTTGAGTAACTGAATATAATATGTATGCTGTGAAACACAGGGTAAATGAAAATTGTAAAATGCAACGGTCTTAGTAGTGAAACTGACTGTAGATTCCCCCACACATTGACTTATAGATGTTTCGATCCTTACATCTAGGTGGCTCATTTTCTGTAATGTAAAACAAAGACGTTTCTTTTATCATTTACTTCAAACTAATTGTGCATTTCTACTTATATAAACATACTTTTGCCTCTGGTTTCATCAACACATTTTGGAAGTAAGGAATTTTTTTCTTCAATGGCATCTACTACTCCACTTTTATCAAAAAATTACATGGCCTACTGTTTCATTCGGAAAAAGAATGAATATTTTAGGTCTTTTTACTGGAGATTTTCATTTGTTTTATAGGATCATACAACTAAGACTAATGTCAGTCAACAGTAAAATGCATCACTTGGTAGAGAACCTTCACCGCAAGGGCGAGGTGCACCTGACCAAGGACAAAATCACATTATTATTATTATTATGTCCAAGACCTGACTTAAGCTAAATTACATGTGTTATCACATAATCACCTATTTAAATGCTATTTATTGCAGGTAAAAAACTATTTACCAGGAAGGAAACTCCGAGCGCAAAAACAAATCGTTATCAGACTTTGTCCCACCTAGGTGACATTTTATTCAGAAAATATGAGACACGGTTAGGTCTATCTTCTCCGTTTCAGTGGGTGGTAATTACTACAAACAAAGGGGAGGAAATGCCAAGCGCTTGCAGAAGGCGGGCTTTTTTGTAAGTTTCATTCAAAACACCGTAATTAATGTTGTTGACTTCTGGACAAAGCGACGTTCGAGAGGCAAACAGCTATCAACCGTGCGATAGCCGTCGACTTAAGTATTTTAAAAGCAGACTTCCTCAGTGTACTTGTAAAAGTGTCATATTGTGCTGGACAGCGACCCCCCCGCCCCCCAACGCTGACCCAGCGTGAGAAATGACAAAGAACAGTGATCAAGATCTGACTCAGAGCGGACCTTTTCACGGTAAAAAGGGCGGTTCTTTCGAACCCCCCGAACCCCCCTGTTAAAAGGTCACAGTTTGCGTCCGCTGGGAGAACGAATTTTGTGTCACTCCTACAAATAATTTAATTTGTAACAAAAGATGAGACTGCAATAATAAAATTCACGCACACTGTTGTTTATGTGAATTTGAGGTTGACCATCGAATATTGTCAAAGGCCAAAATTTGAAGGGGTTTCTGTGGGCAAAAATTTAGCTGCAGTTACCCGATAAGCCGGGTGCTGTTGAGTCTGAATAAGCTTATTTAAGAATTGTTATTGCGATTTTTGCTATGAAGTTTAAGCGTATATATTGTATTGTCATAAATTGTCATTCTAAGAATATAAATGCAATGAATTGCATAAATTATAAATCAAATTATCGTCAGATAATATAGATAAATAAAAATCCATGGAATTCAACGCAAGGCTCCAATCTAACTCGGCTCATGAAAGACTAGGTTCAGTATTCCAGTCACGCATTTTTAATATTAGCCTAGAAATAAGTCTGTCCTGCAGCACAGTATACCGCCACTGGGTCAAGTGCCAGCAAGCGGATATAGGTGCAGCTACACGTTAAGTGTATTTTCGCTCTTATGAAATAGCTAAAATAGCTACCTGTTCACTCTAATTGGAACCTAAATTATTCAAAATGTTAAAACCTTGGAAATATGAGATTGTAAATGTGTTAAATGGATACTTGTACAAATTTAATGTAATAATAATAATAATAATAATAATAATAATAATAATAATAATAATAATAATAATATGCTTTACTTGGATCGGAGACCATTTTATTAAAGGTGCTGTCAATTTTCGTTCAGAGGTACTGGACGGATGACAAAGTAAGTACCAGCCCAAATAGTTAGACAATTGAAGCCAACAAAATAATCATGGGTTTTTATTCTTAGTATTAGGCTATTATTTAATCTGATTTCACCCCTCAAATCTCCCCCTGAACGCATGTATTTCACCATGGTGCCCCTCAGTAGCGGTTACACTTACACAGTTGACCCCTGAAAATGACATAATATACCTGAAGTAGACCTTGACGGACAGACAAACCAGAAGGTGTGAGACAATATAGTGATAGTGATAGATAGTGGGAAGAAGTGGGAGAGTACCGCAATGTAATTCTATTGGCATTAACAAGGACGTAAATTTAAATTGACGTTGACGAACATGTGGGGGGTGGGGGAGGACTCCCTGCACACTTCGTATTTTTAGTATTAAAAAAAAAAAAAGATAAGTATTTCTGCTGCATGCCGGGATATAAGCTAATTTTTCCTCCGAAATACATAACTGATATAACTGTTTATCATTATATGAATGCCTTAGGAATTTATTCAGTGTATGTTGAACTTAAAGAAACTTGCCAACTCTACTCGCAAAGACTTTGTACCTTTATTCTTATCTCTTGCAGCAATCGTACATCCTATCTGTGAATCTGGCGCGCCATTTCCTGTTGCCATAGTTACCTTGTACGTCACGAAGCATGTTGAACACTTTTCATATTAGAGGGCAAACTTTGACCCACATTCACACACTCGCCAGTTGCCAATCATAGCGGTCGGTTGTCCCTGCGCCCTGATCTTGCTAACCGTTGTTGGAAAGTAGACTCTCTAGAGGAAACAATATGAAGACTGTAGCAGTTTTGATCGCGATGGCGGCGACTCTGGCAACTTGTAAGTATACAATGATGCATGTGTTACATCAAATTTGATAAGAGAAAATGTGTATATTTCTATCTTTTACTCCATCTCATTCTGTATGCTGGGTTTCTTTTCCTCCCTCTCACTTTTGCGTGTGAGTCTACTTAATAAATTAACTCACAACATTAGATTACAATGTACGTGCTTGTGTGAACGCACGTGTGTACATGTATGTGCGCGCGCTTGTGCGCATTCAGAGGCATATGTTCTGGTATTCGTCCATACCAATCTCGAATGAGGGGATGCTTCCTGAAAAGGAGAAATAATTTGTATAAGTTTTAAGAACCGCGCCTTTGCATAATTTCGTTACAGCGACTTAAAATTGAGAAAAAAAAAACACCACATTATGTGTAATACCACCGCGATGAGGTCGTTGAGTTGTACGTGAAATATTGCGAGTTTATTGCCGAGCTGCAGGCAAGACAATACACGAGTAATTTTCAAGTACAGCTCGTTGACGAGTGTTCTATCTAGCTTAAACCACACGTCTTAGACGTGAACTTTTAACATACCAACGCAATCTTGTTATAATACGATAGCGAAAGAGATCAAGAGATTTGGATGATCTTCTGAACAATCCGAAAATATGCAGGCTAGCCCGTAATCAACAATTTCAGAAGCGGATATTTAACCAAAAATAAAAAAAACCTTCATGTGCCTGTATCACATTTTACCCAGAGTGGACCGTTTGCCGGTAAAAGGGTGGTTCGTTCGTACATTCTTCGAGAAAGATTTTGCAGTGAGAATACTTGCATACACACGTATACGAAGTATTGCTAAATAGCCTTTCTCTTATGGCGCACCTGGCGTTATTTCAAAGTGGTTTCAATAAAAGACAGTGATCAGAAAGAAATTACTTCTCTGCGCCCCACCCTTTCTAATCAGGTTATGGAAAAGTGATAGCCTTAGGGCGCATTCCCTTAGATTTTAGATCGATCTATCCCCGTGGGGAGTCTCACTAGATTACTGTCAGATAATCCGGCGTAAATGTCCGTCCCGCCTACTACAAGCTGTAAGGGGGTAATTAACTTTCGTACCCGCTCGGCTGACAGCTATTTAGCGTGAACCCCCAGGGAGTTAGGTCGATCTTGTTGGATCGATCTAATCTCTGGGAATGGGGTCTTACACTCCACGTGCCGAAACTGGTCATAGTTTAAGATGGCAGAAAATTTACTCTGAAAACGTAGATTTAACATTTGATTTACTAATTCTGTATTTGAAGTAATTTGTACCTCATATAAGAGATTGTGCATCACAATTTGAATTTTAATAAAACGCGAATTTTCATTTTAGCTTGAATTAGGCTTTGGGTAGATACTGATTCTTAAAACTGTATTTAAATTAAAGCCTACTCGACTAAATTGATTTTATTTTTGCGATATTTTGGGCCCAAGTTGAAGTTACTGGAGCAAGGTTGCAGCGAGGCGTGGAATTCGTACATGACGTGCTGTGTGTCAAATACTGCAGGGCTGAGCCTATTGTTGTACGCGCTAGCCGTGGTTGAAGTTCTCACCAAGCACCTTTTTAACAATCCCCTTGTTTACGCTATAACCACAAATAGTAGTCAATATTTCGGTAAAGCCCCCTTTACACTGGACGGCTTCCTTTCTGCGTCCAGCAGTACGGCCCTATTTGAGAGTTAAAAAATTATAATACTTTACGTGCCGACAACTGGCCGATCATTGAGCATTCATTCTGATTCAAAATCAATGCTCGTGCCTCCTTATTAAGACCACAGCGATGTCAAATTTCCTGGTCGCAGAAAGGACGCAGAAAGGACGCCGTCCAGTGTAAAGGGGGTATAACTGGATAAAACAGCCGATAAAACGTCTGTGTTGCCCTGGCAATCGTGTGTATACCCTCACTGACCACCTGTTAACCACTTAGCTCAGGGGGGACTGAGATGGCCAGTTGAAAGCGTCAACATCCTTTAAAACGATAATTTTATCTGAGGCGCATTCCGGCGGTGAGCCTGGCACCTTTTTTCTCGAAGCATTGCGACATCAGCCCATCCTTCAACTCGTGGACAAAATCACGTTATTATGCCCATCCTACCTCTCTATTGTCCTCCATAGCTCCCCGTCCCATTGTTAGAACGGATGTATTTCAATACATTTATCCAGACTACACGCACTGTTGCACAGGCCAGATAATGGGGAGTGCCTACCCTCTACCAGAGCGACAGATAGATTTTTTTACAGATATTCACAGATATGTCTCTAGATAGATAGGTCAACAGACCAAAATGACCGTCTGTCTATCTAGAGACATAGATTTTTTACAGATATTCACAGATATGTTTTTGGATAGATAGTCGGTCATTTTGGTCTGTTGACCTATCTATCTAGAGACATATATGTGAATATCTGCAAAAAAATCTATCTGTCGCCCTGGTAGAGGGTAGGGAGTGCCTAGGTGGTGTAAAGAATGGTATTACCTTTGCCGAACAGGATATGCTATTGCCTTTATGGTTTAAAACGTCATGATAATGCATTTGCAGGATAGGTCTGAAATGAGATGGATTTAGATTAAGTTTTTGGTGGCAATGCATTAATTATTTTAATTTAAAATAAATTAATATTGAGAATGGAGCAGCCTTTGCCGAGGCCAGCTTTCTTTTGGTGCTTTTTAGTTGTTACTTGTACATTTCACAGGTTATTGATCTAAGGTACTGATTGAGATCTTCATTTTTTTTTTTTTTTTAATGAAAAAAATCGGTATTAATGAATGATCGTAACGATAACTAAAATGGACAAAAGCACTAGGTAGGTCATGCCTTGAGCAAAGTAACAAGAAGACCGTTTTTACCTCCGCCAAGGAGGTTGTTTTATTTATGCAAGCAGATGCTGAATATCAATGTTTTTGTCAAGATACACTTTTATAATGAGGATGTTTAATCTTGAAGCCTGAGATATTCATCGTCTTTCATTGATAATAATTAGTAGCACGTTCATTGGTCATAGAACCTAAGAACGTTTATATTCTCCTTAGATCACTTTTTATACAAGGCGATGTTGGTATTCATTTTTGAAAGCTATTGTTGATTATGGTATGACGGAGACTGTCATTTATCTGAATTAGAGGAATGGAATGCTACGGCAAGGGTCAGTCACTATGAATAATTGGCAGACTTAGCTGTACGCTCGCTGTAGGTTATCGCGTTACTTCATGCTGGGAGAAACTATTTAAGGCATCTATAGCAGGTGTCAGGTTAGGTCATTATATATTACACATCCTTTGTGTTGTACGGAACTACACATTTCAGGTGGAAACTGGCTTTTTTAAAAAACTGCAATAGACAGGCGCATTGTTCACTGTACGGGGAGAAATTGAAATTCGGGTTTCAACTATCAAAAATAAATATGGGCAACGCACGTGCAACGTTTATAGGGCCTAACTCTTTTTTTTATCACGTTTATAATACAGTCGACACCAGTGTAGAATCCCAACTCGACTTCACCCCTGAAAAAAAAAGCAATCAATGACATCCCAGCGATTTTCATTTTCCAACAATTTTTACTTTTGACATTTATTCCTCAGGTGATGCCTTCAACTGCCACGAGTGCAGCAGCCCCAAGAGCGAAGCGTGCGGAGAGACCTTCAGTGCCACTAGTGCCACCACAGTGACCTGTGACACCGCGTGCTTCAAGGCCGTTACCAAAGTGGAAACCATACTAGGTATAGGCTACAGCCAAATATAAATCATTTTTAAAATTTCTATTATCCGTATTTGTTATGAATAAAATAATGGATAAAAGACTGATGTGCGTATGAAAATTTGATCTTAATTTATTTACTAATTGATTTTTTAAATAATTTGTCTGCCTCTCATTTTGTCTGTATTATTATTTTAGTTATTTATCAATTGAGAAAGTTATTCAATTATTATCCACTATTTATTTATTTATTTATTTTCACCAGGCTCTAGCACAACGTACTCCAGAGGCTGCTCCACTACTACTCCAAATTCCATGTCCTGCTCCAAAGACAGCGGTGGCATCTCCGGCCTCGCTAGCGGCTCCACCGAGGCTTGCTACTGTAACAGTGAATTGTGCAACTCCGCCTCCAACCTGCTGCCCTCTATCGTTCAGATCGTCATGATTGTCGCTGCAGCTCTTTTCTTCCAGAAGTTTTAGAATGTATCTTATGATGTGTAGCATTTTGGATCGTGACTGAGAAATGACGAATACTGCGAAAAAAGATTTTTCATTATGATACTAAAGACTGATTTCCAAGTTACTGAAGGTCCGTTTATTTCAGATTAACAAACGTACTAGGAAAGACGATGCTGTGAACATAGTTACGATTCTTTCATTCTCGTTACTTCGTGTAATGGCTTCTCGTGTTGATTAATATTAATATACTGAATTTGCGAACACGATAAGATTTCTAATTGCTTTTAGAAAAGCAACCAATATTTTTTACATTAAAGTACTAATCTTTCTTTTCTATTTTCATAATTCTCAAGATCTCTGTCTAACAAATATTTTTGAGAGTGAAATATTTGAATAAATTGTCAAATTTAGCCAATTTTACTTCATTTTTACCTGAGAATCTAGAGAAAATAAAATGAACTTAACCCAAAGGTGAGTTAATAAGTAATTGCGTTAAATGTGACACCGCATCTCAGTTGCGTTAGTTGAGACGACTAACTAACCAACACAATCACTTATTAACTCCAACAAAGGAGTTGCGCAACTCCTAGCAACAATCCAGTCAATCATTTGGGGACATAAAAACGTCTTGGTGCCGTCCCAGTCATTTAGAATCCAAAGAATGAGATGAAAAGTGAAATGCCTTTGTGGCATGAGAATTACTTATCTATGTTCAGTAAGTAACTGTAAAGTACTACGGAAATAATTTAAGTCAGAAAACTGACACAGCAACACTTTTACAACTGTGTCAAGTGATTTCAAGGGAGATTTTCTTTAAATATAAGCATAAAGTAAGGTCAAAGTTGTCCACTGGTTTACAATAAATATAAAACCTAATACAACTAATTGGGAATATTTCATTATGAAATTTGACAAAGGCCGTAACAAAACTTTGTGCTTGTGTGTGATTCCAATCAGTTACTTTTATTGACACAATTATACAATCTTTAACTGATCGGCTTTTAGTTGAGAGAAATACCCAGGCTGCGCATAGTTGTGGGATGTCAGAGTCATAGAGGACGAAATTCACTTTTTTCGCTGTATCTAGAATCTCGATGAAAAACTTTTCTAAAGTGTTTAGGCAAATAGAACACTATCTAATGCTCGTTGTAATAAAGAAACATTCATAAATCTTATGACAAGTTCAAAAGTGACCAATGTCACTGTTGCTTTGCCCTGACGTCTACGATAAAGCTATTTAGAGCAGTATGATAGTACATTTAAAGTCGAACCAAGACGTCTTCCAAGGTCATAACGAAGCACCTCTTAACATCTGAAGAACACCTTGGAACAGGTCTCGCGTGGGCCTAACGCTACCCCTATGATGACGTTATGATAACCCCGACCTTTATGAATAACTGTAAGTGTATGAATGCTGAGGTGGGCGAATATAAAGCACCGGGGAGGGAGAGAGGGAGGAAGAGAAACAAAATATATAGCAATGGAAATTTCTCTGCAAATCTCCCTCTGATCTTATTACCTTTTTACTTAACTTTAGTGCCTATACTAGTCTAAATGTTAAAGTCGAGCTTTGTGACTTCGTATCAATTGACTTGGGATTTAATGTTTTTTCGATACAGATTTCGAAACATAATATATATCTGGTTGCTTTCGCCGAATCAGTGTTACTATTGACAGTCAGTTTGAACTAGTGACAGACACTACCATATACGGTACATTAGGTTGATAAATAAAGATTTGAACTGCGTGATTACTTTCTTTACTTCACCATGAGGAACATAGTGGCCATTCCCAGAGCCTATCGTAATAACTTTGGATCGATCTATCTCCAAGGGGATTCTCACTAAATTGCTATCAAGTTAAGCAGCTTAGTTGTCTTGCACGTCCTCTGAATCTGTTAGGGGGTCATTAAGTTTAGCGGCTTCAGTAGGCGTGCCAGACATCTAAGCCGCCTAAGCTTAAAGCAATTTAGCGAGAAACCCCTTGGAGATAGATTGATCCTGTTAGATCGATCTAGGCATGGGAACCCAGTCTAAGGTCAAATGATTGCATGATAATTTTTTATTTAATATAAGTAAAAGATAACTTTGGCCTTCGCTTCACACGCTTGACAAACTAAGTTGTAGAGCGATCCATCCTCTTTAAACTTGCTAACCGTTTTTGTAAAGTTGACCCCGAAGAAGTGACATAATGAAGACTCTGGCAGTTTTGATCGCGATGGCGGCAACACTTGCGACTTGTAAGTATACAGCGATGCATGTGCTAAATCAAATTTAATAAGAGAAACTGTGTATTTCTATATTTTTCTTTAAATCCATCCCTTCTCTCCTCCTCTATCCTTCTCACTTTCTTACGCTAAAATGTGTGTTTGCGTATGTTTGTAGTCCTGTCCATAAGTATCCTATCCAAGATTTTTCCACACAAAGACGCCTTTTCTTCCACACGCCCTAATGGAGTACTAGTAACGTCTGATCGGAAAACACCGTAGTATTATATATTAGTCTTTCATGGTCTTTCTTAATCACTGTTACGACAATATGACAATTTAAACCCACCTTCTTCACAAAGCTGTATATAATAGTGTCATTTTAATCCTGTATGCCCCTGAAGAGCCTTTGAGAGAATCAGATATAGGGCACTAAAATGGAAAAAGTCGCTTAAATTTGTTAACTTGTTTATATATATATATATATATACGTGTATGCGATCGTTGAACGCAAACGATCGTAGGCGATCATAAGGATTTTTTCCGCCAAATCGAATCATCCTCAAAATAGAAAAGAATTATCCTACTCCTGAACCATTGCTCGACCCGTCGTGATTTAGTTTTAAATGGCTGACCACATACGTAGTCTGACATATTTTATTTTGTTTCAGTAGGAAATTTTAACATCAGGTTCTTAGTTAGAAGGAGTTTAATAATTTAAGGACCTTTGGGACATATAAGTAGTTTTGCAGGATATGTAGACATGCCTGCATAGCATACGGTTTTAGGGCATTTTCAAGCACAAATAGTATTCAGTGTGTGTGTAACGCGCCTGCATGCGTATACATGTGTGTTTGTGCTTGCGCTCTCGTGTAGGGGTGGATGGTTTTAAAACAAAAGGAGGCACTTAAAAACCATTATATACACTGACAAGTGAAAATTTCCACTGTAGGCCATTCTTCCTTTTAATCGAATAGATGGGATTTCAAAAAGACAAAAATTAAAAAAAAAAAATTTTTATAGCTCTGAGAACCCTCATAAGTCTCCCTCTTAAAAAGGCGAGATATACTATACTTGCGATGAATTATTTTGCCTGGTCTCACCAAGCATCGTTTTAACAAAATTCATTTTAACATTACGTTTGTACTCTTATACCAGAACTATTACTAGCTGTCACAAACTCGATACTTTAACCGATTTCATGACTTCTAAAACAGCTAGAAGGGTCTCTGATAGAGATTATATATTTTACACTGACCAAAGAAAGTAGACGATTTTGGTGACATAAAACATCCGTGTTGCCTTGGCATCCTTGTGAGTGCCCTCACCTAACCTAACCACCTGTTAACACCTTAGCTCAGGGGTGGCTGAAAAAGAGACCGGTGCAAACAAACCGGCTAATTCTGGAAAAAACCGCTTTATCTGGGACGGTGCTGGATTCGTGCTGATGGCGCATTCAGGTGATAGACCGGGCAATGGTATCTACTTCCTTGTTGCTGATAATCATTTTTGGAACACTTGTAATGCGCATGCGTTACGGTTGGCTTACGTGACTTCAATGGGTAATTTTCCACTGCTACCCTGTAGGTAGAAAAAAGTGCCTAGAAAATTGTTGCATCTAAAACGATGTTTCTATATGTGAACAAAGAGGGAAAGTAGCGAAGACTCCTACCGGGTAAAAAATTCCAACTTGGAAATACATGTACAGTTACCTGGTAGTTAATTGACGTACGTCTTTCATTCACAACTTTGGCGTCTCCCAATATATTTAGGCCTTGTTAAATTTAGTATTCAGACAGTGCAAGTTTGAATGATCTCCCAGACCAAAAAGCCATAAAAGGGAACAAACAGAGAGGGTAACTGTTTTGAGCAACTTCATACCTTGCTTCATTTTAGAAACTGGGCCTACAATACAGAAGTCAAATATATATTTTACAATTACCAATATATCTGACGTAAACATTCAAAACTACCAGGAACTCCAGAAAAAAATAACCAAGAAAATAAAGTCAGTTTTTTGTGGAGTTGCATAGTAAACAATGAACGTCGAACGTAGAAAAAAATAATGTGAATTTTTGTCTGAACAAGTGTTAATAAATGTCTCTTTAACACACAAAGAGTTTGCTATAACTAAGGTCAGTAACCATGATTTAAAGATGATAAGAGGGCGATATGCAAAGCCCAAGACCCCAACAGATAGACCGAACATGCTCCCTCTGTGACGCGACTGAGGTGAGATACACATAACTAATATACCGTATTTGTACATTCTGCAACCGTGAAAAACCCTAAGTGACGAGTCCCTGCAAATTCCGATTTCAGACAGATTTTATTTTTTAAATTTATCTTTTAGGTAATGCCTTAAACTGCTACGATTGCAGCGGCTTTAAGAACGAAGGATGCGGAGAGACCTTCAATGTTACTAGCGCCATCAAGGTGACCTGTGACACAGCGTGCTTGAAGACCATAACTATATCTGTCATCGGTACAACAGAAACTATAAGTTTTTGCCATAATAAAGAACTTTTCTTTGTTAGAGTGATGACGAAATTTTAAGGAGTATTTTATCTTTTTATCTATTAGTCATTCTATCTGCCTATTTGATTATTTATTTCGAATGTTTGTTATTTCTATCTACCTGTCTCTTTATTATTAAATTGATTTACTAATTTATTATCTCATTTATTCATGAATTTATACAATCCCATCCAGGGCCATATACGCATTACACCAGAAAATGTGCAGACGAGGCTCCTAGTTCCTTGACTTGCTCTAAGAACGAAGGGGAAATCAACGGAGTCAAGACCGGTTCCTTCGAGGCCTGCTTCTGCAACACTGAATTGTGCAACTTCGCCTCAAACTTGCTGCCCTCTATCGTCCAGACCATCATGATAGTCGCTGCAGCTTTTTTCTACCAGAAGTTTTAAAATCCGTTATGTAGCATTTTGAACTGCGACCGAGAAATGAAATACCCTCCTCCAGAGCGTCAGATATTATAGGCACATTTTCCACATTTCCATTTTTTCATTTTTTGGAATTGTGGAAAATGTGAAAATAATGTCTGCCACCCTGGTAGAGGGGTGAAATCAAAGAGGATTTTGCTTGGATAATTTTACTGCTTACCATCTTGCAAATTATTTTAGAGGCCCATTAATTTCAGATTAGAAAACTAAAATTATCTACCCAGCTAACAAAATAGCCATT